TAGCTATAACTACTTCAAGACACGACAAGTAAGTAGGATTGTGAACAACAATACTAATTTCTTAGCTATAGCTACTTCAAGACACAACATGTAAGCAGGATCGTGAACAACAATAGTAATTTCTTAGCTATAGCTACTTCAAGACACGACAGGTAAGTAGGACTGTGAACAACATTAATAATTTCTTAGCTATAGCTACTTCAAGACACAACGGGTAAGTAGGATTGTGAACAACAATAGTAATTTCTTAGCTATAGCTACTTCAAGACACAACAGGTAAGCGGGTTTGAGAACAACAATAGTAATTTCTTAGCTATAGCTATTTCAAGACACAACATGTAAGCGGGATTGTGAACAACAATAGTAATTTCTTAGCTATAGCTATTTCAAGACACAACATGTAAGCGGGATTGTGAACAACAATAGTAATTTCTTAGCTATAACTACTTCAAGACACAACAGGTAAGTAGGATTGTGAACAACGATAGTAATTTTTTAGCTATAACTACTTCAAGACACAACAGGTAAGCAGGATTGTGAACAACAATACTAATTTCTTAGCTATAGCTACTTCAAGACACAACATGCAAGCAGGATTGTGAACAACAATAGTAATTTTTTAGCTATAGCTATTTCAAGACACAACATGTAAGCAGGATTGTGAACAACATTAGTAATTTTTTAGCTATAGCTATTTCAAGACACAACATGTAAGCAGGATTGTGAACAACATTAGTAATTTCTTATCTAGAGCTACTTCAAAGCATAGCAGGTAAGCAGGATTGTGAACAACGATAGTAATTTCTTAGCTATAACTACTTTAAGACACAGCAGGTAAACAGGATTGTGAACAAGAGATAAAATATTCAAATGCATGGTCTGAGAGAAAATTCAACCAGGTACTGAAAATCACAAACAGCTTCATTTCCTGCGATCTCAAAGACCCTCCCCCCAACAGGGCTGTATACACAGATTAGACCCTGTCATTATGGGACAACAATCACCAATACATGTCATATACCTTGATCTGATTAAATATACTCAGTGCTATCATGTTGTGTTTCACGTCATATATATTCAAGTCATATATTTATAGATGCACACAGCATACCTTTACTTTCTGTTCAAACAGGTTCATCTGTATCATTCCTTTCCATGTACGCTCTATCTTTGTTTGGCAGCACTCGTGCTCCAGAAATTTTTGTTGTTGGCCAGAGTATGCAATTGATAAACAAGTTGTGTTTCCCCATAACCGTAATTTCCGGACCAATGCTAACTGTGCCATTCGCTTATCGTCCTTGTAACACTGGTCAATGACTCTTATGGCCAACTCGACAAATGTGCTTTGAATAAATGGAAATGTACACACGTTCAAAAATCAACATTTGCAATTTATTTAATTGTTGGTAAATACTATTCTATACGAGCACATCTCAGCATGACCCATATTAAGCAGAAGGTTTTATGTTACACGTCAATAGAGGCTGACTCATTGATGTGTAGTCAGTATAAATAATACTGTATACATACTTGGCATGGTCTTTTAGATCAAGGGTTAACATACTCTCTTCAATATTGGCTTGTTTGGCAAGTGCTGCCAATAATCTAGCTGCGATTAATGCTGAACCTGAATATGACAAGAGTTATAAATAATACTGTAATAAGAAATATTACACTGTAATGTATTGATATTTAATACAAATGTATGAGGTTATTACGAGGATACCTCAAAGTATGCACAAAGACAGTACAGCGGGAGTATCGACTGGCGCGCAGCTGAGATCGATGCGACTGTGTACTGACTGAGTGCATACTTTGAGGCATCCTCGTAATAAACTTATTATTGTACATCTTTTCCTTTCAAGCATACATCATGGGAATGCCGAAATCCAAAATATTTAGAACAGAATCAGCTTTGTGTGGAGTCCAGTCAAACCCTGGTGGTAACTGGTGGCAGCCATGTTTCTTTTTATTATTAGAGGATGCTTATAAATAAACATTGACTTTTATCTGCAAAAGACTACTGTAGATGTTCAAGTAGATCTACGTTTTCGGAAAACTGTAGTTGTGTTTGAGATACATGTAGGCTTGTTTGAGGACGACTGTTGATTCGCATCTCTGGCAATGATGAGAAATGGTGAATTAATTAATTAAATGTGTTCATATATATGCAAATGTAGTTAGTTCATGGTCGACTATGGCTGCACACATTACATGATCACTTTTTTACGTGACCATGGACGACCATGATCTGACAGTGTTTCGGATAACAACCAGTGGTTGTCAAATTGGAGTCAATGAGTGAATGTCACAGATTGCGGTCATTAGATGAACAAGACTGAACTTAGTTGATCATGAAATACCATAATATCGTGATCATCATGAAAATAAGAATGTTTTCATCCCATGATCTACATACCAATTTCAACGCTGAAGTCAGGCGCTGTCGTCCTATGATCTACATACTAATTTCAACGCTGAAGTCATATGCTGTCTTCCTATGATCTACATACTAATTTCAACGCTGAAGTCATATGCTGTCTTCCTATGATCTACATACTAATTTCAACGCTGAAGTCATATGCTGTCGTCCTATGATCCACATACTCATTTCAACGCTCAAGTCATATGCTGTCATCTTTTGATCTACATACTCATTTCAACGCTGAAGTCAAATGCTGTCGTTCTATGATCTACATACTAATTTCAATGCTGAAGTAATATGCTGTCGTCCTATGATCTACATACTAATTTCAACACTGAAGTCATATGCTGTCGTCCTATGATCTACATACTAATTTCAATGCTGAAGTCATATGCTGTCGTCCTATGATCTACATACTAATTTCAATGCTGAAGTCATATGCTGTCGTCCTATGATCTACATACTCATTTCAACGCTGAAGTCAAATGCTGTCGTCCTATGATCTACATACTAATTTCAATGCTGAAGTCATATGCTGTCGTCCTATGATCTACATACTAATTTCAATGCTGAAGTCATATGCTGTCGTCCTATGATCTACATACTCATTTCAACGCTGAAGTCAAATGCTGTCGTCCTATGATCTACATACTAATTTCAATGCTGAAGTCATATGCTGTCGTCCTATGATCTACATACTCATTTCAACGCTGAAGTCAAATGCTGTCGTCCTATGATCTACATACTAATTTCAATGCTGAAGTCATATGCTGTCGTCCTATGATCTACATACTAATTTCAATGCTGAAGTCATATGCTGTCGTCCTATGATCTACATACTCATTTCAACGCTGAAGTCATATGCTGTCTTCCTATGATCTACATACTAATTTCAATGCTGAAGTCATATGCTGTCGTCCCATGATCTACATACTCATTTCAACGCTGAAGTCAAATGCTGTCGTCCTATGATCTACATACTAATTTCAATGCTGAAGTCATATGCTGTCGTTCTATGATCTACATACAGATACTAATTTCAATGCTGAAGTCATCTACGAGAAGTGTGATCTACGAGATAAAGCACTAGAAGTTACTTACCTATATTTCCAATTGTCAATCTTCTCCAAAATAATTGTGCCATATCTCTGCGATTCGTTAATACCGCCCAGATTAAGAGGTCCTTGTTAGGATGTTTGAAATCTCTAGAACCAAGTTCACTGTTGTCTGACGATAAATCAACTACATATTTGTCATCTTGATATAGAGGTTCATATTCGTCTTCTAGCAATCGTTGACACAGTCGACCGATCGCCTGCAGGTACACATTCTCCTCTGTGCCTCTCTGTTAAAATATTTATCTCAGTAACATTTAATATATATCATGTTTAATCTAGCAATTTTAAAACTATCATTATTACACTTTAATAACGAATATCAGACCGTACGTCCGTCTGTCTTTGCGTACGCCAGTCTGTATGTTTGTCAGTCGGTATGTATGTCTGTACTTCCGTCCATTCGTTTGTCCTTCCATTGAGGTTTCTAAAATACATGTAAAATACTTGCCAATAAGCGTTTGAGAATGTGTATTGTACTTAATCTGCCATTAATTGCCTCTGCTTTAATTACCTATGAGAAAGAAAGTATAAATGAAACATAATTACCATAAATGACTCAGAGTAATGTTTTTGCATTGTATTGTATTGTACAGGCAAGGAAATACTATTAGCTAATATTATTGGAAGAGGCGACACCGCCCCTCCTCCTCCGAATGATTAGGTGCCATATGAGGAGCAGATCATTCTTTTCGAAACACCAGACATTACTCCATGTGTACGCATATATTACTGTTACTGGTTTGCTCACTCAAGCTGAGTAGAATGAGATATGTCCGAGGTTTTTACTCCAAGATTTGTAGGAAAAGATACATTTGGCGCAAAGATATTCAAAAATATTTTTTGGGGGATATGGCCAGGACCAGGATTTCAGATTTTAGCACCTAACTAGAGTGAAGGTGTGACCTTCCAGACAAGTTTGAACGAAATCAACCCAGTCAACAAATCACAGAAGCGTCAATACGTGGAAACGACACACACGACATACACCAAGGACAGCTAAAAAAGGAAATATCATATTATTGGAATTGTATTGTATTTGTGCCAGTAGTAAGCAATATAAAGTACTTACTTTCGTATATAAAGCGTGAAGTCTGGAAATTGTCAGGAATTTATTTAATTGTACTACATGCTCCAAAAACATGCTGACAAAGTCCACTTTGTTTTCAATTAAGGCTTCCTCCATATGCTTTTCAAAATTTAAGTTCTATTGTAAAAAGAAAAGATCCGGTGAGGCACATTACTATGATATATACATATTTATGGATGTTACCTACTATCTCATAAAATAAATGAAATGGTTCAATACCTTCCAATAATTTCGTTTGCCGCACGTTATTATCTGCTCCTCTGCGATGTCACATCGGTCCAATCTCATTGCTAACTGCAGCTGTGCGTCGATATTTTCACTCACGTGTTTATCTTTAAATTTGTGGGGAAATAAGTTGTGAAATAAGAATACATTTCAATTTGAGTACAAATTGACAGAATTGACACTAAACTATCCACAAAAATTTAAAGAAGAAATGTTGAAATTGATAATTGAATTTTTTGATACACTGAAATATTGCTAATGGATTTGAAATAGAATACGTAGTGTGTAATGAACTTGAACTCACCTTTCAATAAACCACACAGTATAGCCTTATCGATGTCTTTGGTCGATGTTGGTGAATTCATATCAAAAATTGTGATCTATTAGAAATGTGTCACAAATCAGTTATAAACAATTGACAAAATTCAAGCATGTTAGTTGTCGTTAAGTGCGCATGCGCATTTGAATGTTGTGCAAATAGATAACTATTAGCTGCATGTGTATTACATGGAAGGTACTAAAGATACATCAAAAAGCACACTACTGTATATTTTTATTTATAAAAAAAATTGTCAAAGCCGATCATATTCAATAGTGATTTGCGCAGGGGCTAAACAGTGTCTAAACCCATAATGAGCGCGCATGCCTTCCCTTAACATAGCAACTACGACCGCCCTCATTTTCAAAATGAGGCGCTCGCTGATTGGATCATCTGGATCATGTTGAACTATTTCATTAACTAACGTTGATGTCAAAATATTGTTATATTTGTGACATTTACTACATGAAACAACTGTACAATATCTTACCATACATCTGTTTTGTGAATTGACGATCTCGGACAATGTGTCGATGCATTCATTCACAGCAGAAACGTCCAAAGCGGTAACTGGTTTTAAAAATATTTTCTGTATGTTTTCTGTCAGATGATCTTTGATTATATCCCTGAAACACGAATATATACTATGAATGTAATACACATTTAAAAACCGACAAGGTCATGAGCATGGTTTATCAACCCGGCCATCTAATGTCATCCGATTCGACTCACATCGACAGTCACCGGATCGTAGTTTATTAACATGACCATCTGACGTCACCTCATATCTGCCATTTCTTCAGAAGTCGTTTTTTCAGCCCGACCACCTGATACTACCCAAATTGACTCGTATTGTCTCTGAACAAACATTAAGACTTCGATCAGATGCCAACAAAATCAGCCTGCCGTCACACAAATCACCTTAGCTCGTCTCTGAGCACGACAATTATACAATACAAATATCAACCTAACCATGTGACATCACCCAAGATTATTCTTCGCATAATTTATCAACCTCCAAAATGATGAAGGGCTTTGCCAAAATCGATTGCCATCCATTTTTCAACATATATATATATATATACTATGTTGATATAAATATATTCATTCACGATACAAATACAACATGTTGGTGTATTTCAGGATTCTGTTGTCTAATAAAATAGTCAGTCATTTTTAGCTTAATACATGAGCAGACATTGAGACAAATCATTTCACATTTTGCTCTGTTTTTCTTTATATTAATAAACATGTCATTTTGTCAGTATACCGATACCATTTTTGCTGTTTAGGTCAAAGGACGATCATTTGATCGAGTGATAATTCATGAAACTAGCATAATGACACGTAATGAATATCCTCGTCCGCCAAGTTCATGAGTGTGTGTCATTTTCTATTAATTAGCATCACATCAAATATACCTTTCTACGAATACACAGGGACACTAGAATTACTATTACACAAGACCAAATCTGTACATTTCTGTCAATAAATGTTCCTACCTAATTTGTTCATCTGGTTTGCCGTGTGTTATTCTTAATGCTTCCACAATAAGATCAGCTGCCCCACCACTACCATAAATGACAACCGCGGGTATTTGTTTGCCACTTACGGGAACTAAGGATTTATATACTTTTCCGATGGTTTCAGTATTCCCTCCTATTACAACCAGCACCACAGGTATATGAGTTGCTGTTCAAAAGAACCAAGCGCAGAACATGATCCCCATTATATATCAGTGTATGTAGCAAAGACAGACATCGAAAGTTAAGTTGACTCGAATTAGCGATCAAATTTTTACCATCAAAAGAACACATTGGCTTACATTTAAGTGAAACAGTGATCAAACAAATGTATAGAGACGCTCACTCACTTTTCTTTCCTTTTTCACCATCTCTGATAAATTGTTCTAAATTGTCCCTGACATCGATTTGATAACCGAGCTCTTCTCTGCCATGATCCATTAAGATGAAATGTGTATGGTTACAGTCCAATGCAGGCATTTGATTGCTTAGATCGCTTGCACCATATTTGGCAGGCCACATTCCTTCAGACGACTGGAAATGAAGGTAATACTAACAATATTTCCGATATTGCATGATGATCAACACGCAAAATTCAGAGAGCTGTGCAAATTCAAAACGTACATATTGAGAGTTTTTCTACGATTCAAACATGGTTACTAGTAACCGTGATTCAAAGCGTGTTTGGTACTACTCAAAGAACATACATTAGGAATAGGGCATTTATGGGTTACTGTGTTAAGTTGTATTTGTGTCTGGCATTTCTCATAACAATTCAGGCATTTATCGTACTTATTTTTTATGTATTTGTTATAAAACAACTGAGATAATCCACCAAGCATTTATTTGATTTAACACCTCATGGCTGAAACTTCTAGAATATGGACTTCAATTGGTGAAAATGAATCATTAAAGGTACGCGAAATTCAGACTAGTCTGTACCTTTTTAACGTAATCAAAAAACATGTTAGGCACTTGAAACCCATGAATTATTGGTATAATTTATAACGATTCAAAAAGCATGTGTTGATAATAATTGGTACGATTTAGCATGCGTCAAAATGTATGTAAATTCCTAGAAATTTGTATTACAGTTTTACGGACACATCTACTTGAGTTAACATGTCTAATATGTGTAGTAAGAACACCGGCACGTACGTCTCTAACCTCTTTAATCCATGTCCTACATTCAAAGACACACTCAGGTTAACCTCTTTTCATTCTGATTATAATACAGAAAATACACCCTTTGGTGCCTGCTTGAAGGCAAGAATAGAGAACTGTTTGTGCTCGTACTCACATTCCCGTGTAGGGCTTCATTGTTGTCCACGTTATCCCAGGGTTCCATTCCCAGAAGAACAATATCTTGGTGTACCTCCTTGATCGCCTCACCGACTATTTTACTGACCCCAGCATCTATACCACGTGTAATAATCCATACACCTGTATGGTAATGTTTAATATTATGATATGTCTCAACACAGATATACTCGACACACGTTATCAACAAAATCTAACATTCACAACCCACATTGGAGAGTGGTGAATGTTAGCTAGCTAATGTAGTGATTTTGTGATGTGTTTTTTATAGCTTTTAGTGATATGTTTTTAATAGTTCCGTTTGATGGATGAAGTTCCATTAAATAGCTAAAGGCGCATAGTTCTATTTAAAGGCCCCATGCAATTGTTTGTTAATTTTGAGTGTGGTACCATCTAATAGCTCAAACAGCTAGTTCCATTCAACTTCCAGTTCCATTTAATGGCCCCAAGCGAAGATTCTTGATTTTTGTTTTCAGATATTTGTTAAGGGGTGTAGTTCCATTTAATAGTCCCGAACGGACTTTTTTTTCGAATTCTTATTCAACAACAAAATATCGTATAATGTTTCACAGAAGGTAATCCACTGCAATGTGTTAGTGGTCATTAATACTAATTAATGTCAAAAAAGATGTATTGGTGGATTGAAAGACCTGGCCATCTGTTTTGACCGCTAGTCACGGTCCCATGCGTTATGTTCTGAAACAATATCACATTTAAACATTTTGAATGGAAATCACTGCTTTTGGACGTCGTTTCACGCAACTCAAGTGATTTTTATTATACCTGTACTGACTGCAGCTTTAATAAGCCCTTCCTTGAATAAAGTTTTTAATCTGGATTTAAAGTGGTAATTAATGGTTCCACCAGTAACTGATATCAATACTTTAGGGATATACATATTCCATTGATTAATTAGCAGATTCCAGATGATGTTTGGTTGTGTGTCATTATCAACACGAATATACTGAAATAAATATAAAAATAAAATAAAAATAATTATTTATTTAATGATAAATAATTAATTGATTTAAGAAATGAATGTTACTTACCGGTGTCTTCTTAATGTTTGGTCCAAATCCAACAAATTTGATGTCTCCAAATGACTGTGTATTCTGGGTATCTTGATTCCTTGTTTTGTCTCGTATTCCATGTTGTTCTATAAAGTTGGCAATTCGTTTACGCTATTCAAAACCGGAGAGGGGAGAAATACTATCATACAACATTGAAATGTAATTCATAATGTGTTCAAGAACAATAAACACCAAGCAAGCAAGCAGCAATTAATTAATTGAAATCTGGTGTAGCTGCTCTGATTGCTTTTAAACTGTGACCACCGCTTTATGGCTGCTTGAGGTATGTACATACAATATGTTTACATCCAGCGATCATATATTAAAATCGACTTTCATCCGATTGAGCAAACGGCTGATGAACATTTTGAGGCATGCAACCAACAATAGCACTTTTAACGATGTTAAATTTAGTTCTCTAGTATTAATTGTTCATCACATGTAATTTAATATGCAGCGTTATTGTGTCGAAGTTACCGACCCTATGCTTTTCAGAACCTCCTTTTCGATAAATCTGTCTAGCCAGCATTGGTTCCAATTCGTAATCTTCTCCACTTTCCGTATCATTTTCGTCGGTGTCAGAAACATCACAATTATTCATTGGATATGTTGTCATCTCAAGTGACGTATGGCCGTTTGTTGACGTCATATCTCTGGTAAATTGAAACATAACTTATTAATCAAACGTTCAATAAGCATTGGCAGAAATTAGCTATCTATGGGTTTAAAAAATGGCCTGTAAAACACGAAATACACTACTCATTTAAATCACACAATATTTTCACAGATTTCATTATTTTATTAAAGGGTGGTCGTCGCACAGCGCGTGTTCGAATCACATTTGAACAATGTATTTTACACGCGTTGTATACGTCGCTATGAGTTCTATATCGAACAGTACGCGGCACGACGACTGCCGCCCTTTAAGCACATACTAACAAATAACACATATAAAAAGATTATCTTGCCTCAAAAGAGGAAAGAAAGATGCTAACATCAGTGTATATTTTTTGTATTATAATCAGAATGGCAGAGTGTTGTAATTATCAGTGGCCAGTCTGTCAACTTATCTACAATGTAATGTAACACATGACGCCATGTTTATGACATCGTAAACTAAGTTTGTGAATGGCTTTGATTAAATAAATTTGCTAAACTCTTAATGTCGTAAATAACCGAAGTGTACACCTGTAGACTCCTCGCGAAAACCATGATTACTATTGTATTTGTAAGCTGCTGTAAATAAAGTCTACAACTTTTGGCATGCCTGGCTGCCTTGACTACGCTAGAATGCAGTGCGAGACAGGTTTTAGGACTTGGTACGAAGAGTCTGCACAACACTACATTCTTTCCTGTCGGTTATAACTGAAAAAGAATGCTACAGCAAATGAAATAAACAATTTTGAAATCAGCGTCTCGAAATTGAACAGCAAAATTGTGTCTGTTAATTTTTTCTTCCATATGACACCCCATTACTTACTTGTTATTTTTCGTCGTCAATTTGGCGAAAAACGCACAATTGAACGCCTATATCGCATGCATTATAACATGCATCGGCAATCCCAAACTATTAAACCAAATTCCCACTTTCCTTACTAATCTAATTATCTTATCATGTAATATTTGTATATATATATATATATATGAATAAGTTGACATTATATCACACACAGACATACACGGTATAATTCATAAGATCAATACTGTTGTTTCAAGTGGTTTATAGCGGCGGCCAGTAATCTGAGTAGACAACTCCAATAACCCACACTGGCTACAGTGCTCAGTTTCAGATCTACTACGAGTATATTAGATATTTGCTACCAATAACTTACCTTATTTACTGTCGGTTTACAGCGGGTGCAAACGAGAATCGTACGGGTAACTTATCAATGTTCCAATAACCCTGACTGTTTACTGAATCACCCTAACCATATATGCCAATTCAATACGTCTCCAACATCAGAGATTTCAAGGAAACCAGGTAATGCTCATATGATGTATATTATTGAGTTACATCATTGACTTTGTCAAGGTTTACTCGAAAACAAGTTATTCACCGTGGACTAAGTGGTATCTGTTAAACGTATATAAGTTGAAGTTGCCAGTTATAGCTGGGATTCTTGAAACTACAATTAATGAATTTACAATTATATATTAAATTAATACACGGTGTCTGTACAGCACCAAGGAGACCACGGCCTTGATATCCGTGATTTGTTGTATTTACAGTGGACTCTAATACATTGATCGGTTGTCACAAACTAAATATTTTACAATTTCTATTACTTTTCATACTAGGTCAACTGTTGAAAGTGACAGTGCGACCTAATAAGTCGTCAATAGTGATTGGTTCCTCATCGGTATTTTTTTTAAATGCAGACATTATTTTGAATTAAACTATTACTTACGTGTTTTTAACTTTCAGTTCTCGTTACATTAAACAATATAGAGCAAGCTGGCAGCCGAAATGAATATGCTTATTCGACCCAGGCCATTTGTAACAAGACGACATGCTCCGAGAAATGTGCCAGTTTTGATGTTGTGAGGCCAAATTCTGACTCCTAACACAACTTGAACGAACCACGAATATCTGCACGGATATGACAAACTCTGGTTCATAATGACAGTTAATATATTTAAAATGCCTGCCACAGTAAACTAAACTGTTTATCAAATATATGTTCTTCCAATCTACAAAGCTTATCGGTTTACAAACAGTATAGTGTAATTTGTCTAATCAATGTTTACATTAGCATAACGATGTGCAAAACGTATTTTACTCAGTACAGTGGATATTATTTTATGATTACTTGTTTGTTCCTAGGAACACATCCCCCTCACACTTTTGAAGAATGCCGATCCTATGCACCTGGCAGCATACCTGTATCTATAATGGAAATGTTCGGAACAATGCTCATAAGAATCCATCCAGGAATTTCATTAAAAAAAATAGTATCTCTCAGAATAATTTATGACAATTAGAATTACCCATTTGTATTTTTATAACTATTTTTTACTATATGTCACCCAATGATATTTGCAAATATGAAGATATCCTCTCATGTTTTTTTAATCGTACAATGCTTCCATATTCACTTCTTGCATTGATTTAAAGCGGGGAGTTGTCACCTGCGCATACGTCAGATGGCCATAGCGTGTCATTGTTTACAAACAAGCGTCTACCCATGAGCCTTTGCATTTTTAGCATGTGTTGTTATCGTCGCTTGGGACTCAATTCCCGCGCGTGCGCAGGTGACGACCTTCCCGCTTTAATATACACTTTGTGGAATTTTGTTATATTTTGTTGATTTCCACATAAACGATATTACAAAGAGGGGACATACTGACTATGCACGATCAAACGTGTGTGCACGCCGAAGCACGACAGTCGAGATGTGTATTGGGCTAAAACAGGAATTCTAACACAGATCACCAACACTATAGCTGGCCTTTTGATTTCTTTGTTCTCGGGAAACGTTATCTGTATGATTATATCCTTACCAGTGCCACGAACCATCCAGATCCAGGTCGTAACCGTCACTCTCATAAAACAATTTTAGAACATCCTCAAATTTTAGGATGTTAGTACGAGCCCAATGTTGACGTGTTGTATGTCTGATATCATAACGTACTTGTTGTCGTACTAATCTGATATTGGACGTCTGACGGCCGCCCTCCCAATCGTACTTTATCCTACACCTAAACCACGACGCCTGGTCATGTGAGGACATTGTTTGCCTAAATAAATAAATACAGTCTGTCTTACCTTTTCGGGAACCAATCCTTACTAACACGTCCTAAAAACACAGCAATTGAATATTCACGCACCCTGTGGAGTGTATGTGTATGTGAAGACGACTCTCAGACTGGTGAGTTGATTTAAATATCGTATAGCAATACCAATTGGAGTGGAACAGAGCGCCCAAGGACGTCACACAAGGAAGCAATACGTAGACGGAGGTTGTGTTCACCTTCCGACCGGTAAAATACGCTGTGTAGAAAATAGATTGTTCCTTTGGGACTATTTTGGAGGAGAAAAATTGAACACGATTATTTATATTGTGGAATTGGATGAGGTAAAATTGGGGTAGGGGTGCTTTGAAAGGCGTATGCAAATATACTTTCCTACGACTCGCAATAATAATAAGTCACCGACCTGAGTAAGTCGGTCAAAAGGGGACAAGTTTCGTGACCTGTTGAGATATGTTGAGTAGAAGGTATGACATTGATACAATTGTGTTTTGAAGGGAACAACTAGTTCACCCAGATAATAGAAAAATTATACTCGAAACTCAAATTAATAAAGTGTTACCAGATTGGTGCAAAGAGGTGTTTGCAAACATCCTACACTAAGTCTACAAATGTCGTTAAAACACATTAAAAATTATAACATGAAAGTAAGAGAGAGGAGAGTATACTAGTTTATTCTTTATACGTTACAAAGCAAAACTTTGCGATCAACAATAATATTCACTTCTCATGAAACAACAAAAACGTGTTCAATTCACTCGGCATGGTACAGATCATTGTTACCGACACCTCTCCCAATGGCGGATGTACGCATCGTTCTAAAAGAGAGATCAAGCACTAATCCAAACACTATATTTCACTTTTTGAGTTGTAAAGTTGGTTGTGTTAAAAGTAAAAGTAATTTTCACCTAAAGCTGTAATTATTCATTTTCACAACTTCTGCATGCATACCGTTCCATTCCAATTGACATTATTTTATCAGATCTAGATTGGCAGGGACACCTGGATTTGAAATGTTTTCACGAATTTTAATTACTTAGATCATACACTTGATTATTCTGCATGAAGACATGATGTCATCCATGAGTATTTTTCTAAATTTGCATAAATTCAAAATGGCTGCCATATTACCATGAAACGGCATAATTACACCGCCAATTAACATTTTTAACTATTTGAAAGGCAACATTATTGTTCAAATATACTGCAATGTTCCCTGAACCAATCATGCGATCATTCTAAGATTCACGATTTGCATAAAATCACTTTTGTCCAGTTTAAAAAGTGGAATAGTAATTTTAGCAAGAGTTCCTCGGGGCTCTTCGCCCGTAACTAATCCGAACTTTGCCCCTAAAGTGTCCCTCCGCCATTTTAATCGTATCTCCTCCTCTTGAGGACATATCTATTATGGGTCTGGAGAGTTAGAATTAGAGTTTGGGTTAGAGATCCTCAACGAACTCTTTTCGCTATAATTACGTATTTCAAACATTATAATGTCTCTTTTGTGTATACAGTGAAATCACCTTAGGAAGGTCCTCTGCAGAAATCATAATTATTAGCATCACTTACTAGTACATTAAAGCAGGAGAGTCATCACCTGCGCATGCGTCAGATGGCCATAGCGTGTCATTGTTTACAAACAAGCGGCTACCCATGTTCCTTTGCGTTTTTAGCGCGTGTTGTTATCATCGCATGTACACATATGCTAGAATATCTATACGTATGTTTTATTGACTAAATAATCCACATATTTGCATTCCAATAGTTGATATATCCATGCTAACCGAGTCCACACTCACATTTTAGTGAATTGTTAGCCTCGTGGACCTGATGTCTTTAGTAATTATAGAAGTACCAATTAGCCGTTCTTCAACAATGAGTAGTCAAGAAAAATATACTGACAAATTCGATGGAATCGGAACATCATGAACCCCCACAAGGGAGTAAGACCAGATGCACGTGAAGGGTAAGCATCTGCTGCGGACATGCCACACCCGCCCTTCCAGTCATGTCAGCGAAAAATGTCAAAACAAGCTTACTAGACAAACAACTACACCAAACCACAAGGACAAACAGTTGTTTTGTAAGATATTAGATAGTAGATCTGTTTTAATGATACATGTATAATATTGCTCACTTCAAATTGACAAATATATACCAAATTGTGTACAAACAATTTGCGCAATGAGCAGTTCATAACTATATGCCGGGCCATATTTTTCATAGCTGTTATTGGACCCTATACATAGGGTATTATATACTGTATATTTATAAACTGCTAAATGTATTTGCCAGATAGAAAAAAAAAAATTTGCAATTGAAAGTTTGAGTGAGTTTTATTTTGAAATGTCCAATATAAAGTATACAATGGACAATTAAAGCTATCATTATTGGTTACGAATATTTATAATAATTGTGTGTGGCATACACACACTAACATATCAAAGTAACACACACGTTTTAATATTACGATCTGAACAGTAACTACTAGTATATGATAATCAGAAATCTGTAATCAGCGAAACAAGGAAGTGTACATAAGGACATAAAACATTTGCCGAAAATAACAATATTTTATTCAGTAAATCATTCGTTTCGCTAATTACAGATATCCGGAAATCTATAATCAGCGAAACAAATGTCCTACATGTGTGTTATTATGTAAACTGTTGCGTAGCTGGTCGCAATATTACTGTTTATTTAAAAATCATCTCCTTTATTTTTTGACAATTGTTTAATGCCGTTGTAAACACTACTGAAAGGTAAATGTACTGGTCAAGTTTCGTCCCACAGTTGTAAATAATATACGTGTAGGACCTTTGTTTCGCTGATTACAGATTTCTGATTATCCGTAATTAGCAAAACGAAACTTTTACTAATTAAAGTCCCGATATTTCGGCAAATGTTTTATCTAGTTACGACACGACTGAAAGATGAATTTACTGGTCAAGTTTCGACCGACAGTTGTAAATATTGTATGTGTAAGACCCTTGTTTTTTGATTATCTGTAATCGGCGAAATGAACCATTTACTGATAAATATTGTTATTTTCGGCAAATGTTTTATCTAGTTACGACACGACTGAAAGATGAATTTACTGGTCAAGTTTCGGCCGACAGTTGTAAATATTGTATGTGTAAGACCCTTGTTTTTTGATTATCTGTAATCAGCGAAATGAACCATTTACTGATAAATATTGTTATTTTCGGCAAATGTTTTATGTCGTTATATACTACTGAAAAGTGAATATACAGGTCAAGTGTCGACCGACAGTTGTAAATATTGTACGTATAAAACCCATTTCCACTGATCACAGTTTAATTTTCATTATGTGTGTTTTCCCCGTTTTGTTTCGTTTTTTTTTTATTACAATAAACCAAAATGTGCCAATGACTCTTTAAATCTCGAAGGGCCTTTTTAAACTGTTTGTCCACTTGTTGGTGTGCATTGCTAATTACGGTGATAACGCCTTCTGCTGATCACAGTCCCTTGAGGGACTGTGTGCTGATTGAGTTCGATTTTCTCGTTCAGGATTCTTTATTGATATTTCTGGATATGTGCCAGTCACCCAATATACATATGCTGTACATCTCGTGGGAACCTGTCTCATTATCAACCTTGGCACAGTTCCTGCCAAGTCACCAAATGTGGAATTGCTATTTACTTTCAGCTGCTGAATAGCTGTCATGGTACAAACAAATGGATCATCAGTTATAAACATAAAACGTGGGTTGCAACAAATGTTGGTTAATATCTTACAGTTTGGTAAGAAACAATACTTTTATCATCATGGAATGTTAGTTCGTGAACTTTTGTGTTCACAAAAAACATATATTTAGCCACTTTCACAAATATTCTATCATAAATGAAACCAGCTATATTAGGTTGTACAGGCTTGGTCGCCATCTTGGACGCCATCTTGGATTTGAAGGTCACCTCAATAACTGTTTTCGAGCACACCAACAAATTATGGTATCTCATACCATAGAGGTGCAAATAAACACAGTGAACTTAGTTTGTAGGCCGGGTAAAATCGGAGTGCCTAGTATGTGGGATCATCCCTTCGCTTATTAGCCAGTGTGTTCGCTGTTTGGAACAAGTTGTAACAGCAAAAAACACACACCATTCAAAGACTGCAAAAACAACTTTCCAATACATTGAGAATTACGCCCTGCACTTTGTATGGAATACTCTGAGCAAATTTTGAGAAAAAATAAAATAATTCGTCGACGACTTGTCTGATCCACAGTCAGCTGGCGCACACGTGATAATAAAATAAATATTTACTATATGGGGCCGCCATCTTGAATGCAGCATAAAACTAAATAAGAGACAAGTTGTGAAACGCGTTTTTCAGATTCCTACAAATCAGACAAAAATACCAATCTTTTACAAAAATGCGACCCG